ATGTACACCATAATGTACATGTAGCGCCCTCTATTGGGGGGATCACTTGGCCTACAGGCATTCCTCCCAATAGGGGGCGCCAAATGTACATTATGGACACCATTATGTGTAACATAATGTACATGTAGTATTATTCTTAGTACATAATGTTCTTATCTTTCATTGTTATTTCGAAAAATGTCACCCATTTTCATTTTTTTTCATTTTCACCTACGTTTGATTGTGCAAACCACAATTTCTATCAAATTTAATCCAATTTTTCAATAAAAATGTGAAATGACGAATATACCCTCCTATTTAAATAAAAAAATATATTTTTAATTTTTAATTCTTTAATAATTTACTTGGGACTCGTTTGTATTTTTTTTATTTTTAAATATATTTAATTAGGACTTGTTTGCACTTTTTTGAAAAAAAATAATTTTTTAAATAATTTATTGGGGACTTGTTTGCACTTTTTTAAAAAATTGGGACTATAATTGCAATTAATTTTTTAGTTTTTTATTGAAATAGTAGGGTATATTCATCATTTCACAATTTTTTTTATTGAGAAATTGGATGAAAATGGATAGAAATGATAGTTTGTGCAATCAAATGTGTAATTAATGGTGAAAATGCCAAAAAAAGAAAGGTATGGATGTTTTTCGCAATAATGGTGAAAGATAGGGACATTGTGTTCATCTTGTTGTTGTGATCAATACTTCATATCGTACCGTATAACCTCGTTTTCCCTGCCCCTCCCCCGCCGCAAACAGTTGGTAGTAAATTTATTGGTATTAATTACCGATCAAAAAAAATTTATTGGTATTAATTTCTTTCATCAGTTTCGGTGGCATAATTGATATGCCTAATTTGAAATGACACATTAATTTGTTCTCAAGTTTCTTTTGATTTTATAAATTTTAAAATTTAATATAATTTTTTTTTCATTTTAAAATAATACATAAGAAAATCAATACAATTGAAATCCATTTAAGTAATTACTGACACAATAATAATTTTTTTTTGTTTAACAAACCCT